TGGATCTTGGCCACATCCGAGATACTGAGATACTCAGATACTCGGACACTCAGATACGCGGACACTCAGATACGCGGATACTCAGATACGCGGACACTCAGATACGCGTATACTCAGATACCCAAGTAGCGCCCCAACTACTAGCGATCATATAAGGTCAGATGCACTGGGGCAACCTACCAGTTGAATGCATCGCACGATCCTCTCTCCCACATTCGGCATTCTGGTTATTCCAAATGACCAAATTCGACACCGCCATCCCGGCCAGGTTGCTGCAAATTGGCCATTTATATGCCGCGCTAAATTCCAATAAAATCGGTGCACCAATAAAGCGCAAAGCCAAGGCACTGATCCCAATTCTTCGGGTGTACCAATCGCTGGGATGTGATTTATTTACAATGTGAAATACATCCAGCGCCCACTGAACAAACATGCGGATATATATTCAATTTTATAAGCATCCAATATTGAGTAACCCGCGATGCGTGAAGAATCTTTTCGCCGGTTTGATGGATACAAAGATCGACAACAAACAAACCACTAGAAACTATTTTAACACACCTGACGACACATGATTTATACTTGGCAGCGGACATTTCCCCACCAAATCTGTGTGACGTCATCTACAAGTAAACAAAATGATTTACAAACTATTCCGGAGAGAGTTAAATTATTGGCGAGATTAAGCAAGGCAACTTAGTAACATTTGCGTAACTTATCAGTTGCACTTGGTTTCAAGTGAGGAAAGTAAAAGTGAAGGTAAGGTGGTCTTCCATTATGACGTTTTTCATACAACAGATTATAGTCTTTCAAAACTAATAGAACCTCTGTCTCTAAATTTAGTGAGGAATTCCAATATATATATAAATTTCAAAAAAATGATTAGATTGTATATGTTTAGCAAGTTAAATTATAAACATATTTATTTTAAACCCTCCTCTTTGTTTGCCAAAAAAACGTCTATAGTTTCCTCTTTTTGTTTGCTTATACAGCTTTAAATTGATTTTGTGATGGTTGGTCCATCAAAGGTTTCATATTTCGCCAAACTTTGCACGTTCTGGCTGTATCCAAAGGCCAATTTAACGCAAAAACGCATATTAAAACTGAATATATTGTGGCTGGTTCATTTTTTGCCGATTTGGCTGAAATGATCGCTTTGGAAAACTACTAAAATGTCCACCCCAGCGCTCAAACAAAATATTTATGTACATTTGTGTGTACTTCGAGCGACGCTGCTTCTTAATTTAGATCGCGATGCGTCCGCATAGCAAACAGAGCAGCAACAACCTCCCGTCTCCGGATCCGTACCGCTCCCGTACCGCTGCCATCCCGATCCGTTCCAATCCGTTCCGTATAAACAAACCGCAGTAGTTGGCCCGCCCCCGAACAACCGCCTTACCTTGACAAAGTGCGATTAAAAAGCAAATGTGACGGGGTCGAGTACGCATCTCGTAAATATCAAAATATTTCCCAGATGGCGTTCACCGCGTATCCAGTGACCAGTATGTCGGATTCCTACAGGTGAGTAAGGGGCACTCAAAAGCGTGTATTATGATGTGTTTACCAGTTCCGCAAACAAGGTGGATCGCCCACCCTCCACCCACCAAGCACCGCCCACCACCCACCGCCCACTGCCCACGCCCACTCGGCATGCGGTCGAACTATTTTTCACTTTTTATATTCGGTCTTAAATGGCTGCGGAGTAGACCACACGATTTTTTATGAATGAAAATGTACTAATTTGGATCTGGCCAGCCGCTTATCGAGACTTGAGTTTTCTGCACTGGCAGAAATAATTGGTATTCTAGTTGTTATTTAAATAAAATTGTATTGCCTTTGCCTTTTCTTTGTGGAAAAATATTAGGGAAACATTAATTGAAAGGGGATGCTATTTCTTAATTTAGTTTAGATTTTAAGTTATTTTTCTATTGTTTGTAAAACTTTTTTTTATTTGCCGAGCAAATATGTTAATAGTTGCACAAACTAATTCTGTTTACATGCAAACGAATCAAAAACTTGATAAAGCATTCCCTTGATTTCATATTTATCGTTGTTTTGGTAGATATGCAAAGGCTGCTTCAACGGAAACCAACACAAATCCATGATGAACCATACTTAAATAGCGGGAGGTCAGGTAGAATGCCATAGAAAGATACAAATTGTTTTACTTTTTTTTCTTAATTAAAAAAAATCTTTCCCTATTTTTTTCTTTTTAGCCGATAGAACTTTTTCGCAGTGCAGCTGACTGATTTATTTTTTGTGGCTTTTTGGCCGGCTAGCCACAATGTCTGGTATGGCCAATCAAGTGTCGTTGTGTGTGTGTGCCTGTGTGTTGCATGTCCGCGGGCCCGTTTAACCAAATGCAATTTTAATGACGTGACCAGCTACTAAAAAACCAAATCGCAGCGAGTTGGCTGTCGCTGGCTTTTGTTTTTCCTATTTATCTGCCGACTAAGTGGGCAGTTCGTGGGCAGAATGGGGCATTTGGGCATTTGGCCATTTGGGCATTTGGTATTGTCTACAGATTTTGGCCGGCTTAATTTATTAGTCAGCCTTTTGTAATCGGCCGGGCATTAAGTCCGCTGTGCGACATCGGCCACATGAGTATTAGCGGAAGTGTTGGAAATAAATCATGCTTCGCATCCACGCACACTGCATCCACGGCGCACACAAGTGCACCAATTCATACAATTCATCGACATCGATGGCATCGCAAAGACGCCGACAAACTGCCTCCGCCCAGCACCCCACATCCCGGCGATCCTAGACACCCAGCATCCAGCAGTCCACATCCACGCATCCGTGGATCCCCTGCCCCGCCGCGCCACCAGAACACCCAATTTTCCACAGATGAATTAAATGCATTTTAAACACACATGCACCCACAGATGGGGTCAAAATAATAGCAGTGTATTGCACACATGTATCTTCGAGATTGATAAACAAACGCTTTGTGTACTTTTTCGTAGATCCATCAATCATCATTCCATTCATCAAGTAACCAGATATAATTTATAGACCTCTGTCGATATTACAGTGAATAAAAATACATATAATATATATTTATAATGCATTACAGTGAATATAAATGCATCATACAGTCATCTCAGCCTAATAAGTAAAAAGTTGTATAAATGTAACTCCACAGATGATTTCTGTGAAATAGCTTCCAAAATATTTTAGGGAAGGTGTTTCAGATATTCGCACCTCTGGTTTTATTCAAGTTTCATAAACATTTCCGTTCCAAATTCTCATTAACATAATTTATTTTGAAGACAACCGAATATTTCAACCACAAAAATGTCTTCTGGGGAACTAAATGTCCCAGAGATATAAATTTTGACCAAAGAACATAATTAATTAGGGGCTTTTTCTTTAGGTGCTACGACATAGCACTATTATTTTTGGGGAATCTTGTATGATTCATGGCATCGTTCATACTATATTTTAGTTTTTGTGCGTTTTCATTGCTATTATTTTGACTGCATGTGTAAAATAGCATGCGTGCAGATCCAAATACATCTGCGTTCATGGGTGTTTGTGGCTATGCGAACGCGGATTGTTTTCATGAATGAAACATTTTTTATTCCATTTATCACTTGGCACCGAGTCTCCTTCAGCTGCACTTCGATTAGCGTCTTGGGAGCACTTTTGGATCGGTTAGGAACCAATCCGCATCCACATGCAAACCGACGCACTTTGCATATAAACACGGCTAACTGGCCCATACATTTGGCTTTTATGACTTTAATATTGAACTGTCAACCGTTTAGCGTTAATTTACCCAACGATTACCTGGTTGACACTACTGTATCGCTCGGGGTTTTTCGAAAATGTTTCAAAATCCGTTTCGCGCACACATATTGAAGCAAATTTTTATTTTTACATTGGAGAACCACGTCGGATGTCGAATGTCGCCTCGCAAACTCCGCGTAAACAACCCGGATTCCTCTGCAAGCCCAACCGTTCCGTTTTCCGTATTCCGTTCCGTTCAGATCCAATCCGATACGATACAATCCGATCCGATCCGATCCAAACGACGTCTTCTCGAGAACTGAGACTGAGCGAAGCAAACGCCAACGCTCCGCGGCGAGCTGAAAAACGTCGCGTTGCCGTTGACTTTTCCACACACATGTTGGCCGTGCACAGTGGCCTGGAACCGGGTGAAAAATGTGCGAATCGCTTCGAAAATCCCAGGCAGACGCACAAATGCTTCCACTATTTCTGCGAAATGCGAATAATAGGAAAAGTGCCAATACACCGAGAAAAATTCAGATGTTAAACTTAATAGCAAATCTGTTAACTAAAAATGTTCACTATTGATAAATGATACAATTAAACAAAATTTAATAAAGAAAATAAACTGTTTTATTTTAGAACAAGAGATTCTTCGACTACCAGATACTCGTTAGTCAGCTAAAAGTTAATACTTTGAAAAAAGCAGTATATCATATTTTTGAGGAATTCACGCTTTTCAACGTTGTTTATTCAAATATCAAGCCAATGTAAAAAGTGTCAAATATATTTGATCGAATGTAGTATACCCTTTGTCTATATTAGTAACGGGTAAGATAATATGTACAGCAAAGCAATTTCAGCTGCCTCTAATTAGAAATGTTTTCTGCAGCCCTACTGATAATATTTGTTTATCACTGTTTCTTACTAATAACTATGATGTAATTTGAAAATAATTACAGCCTAAACAAACAAATGTATAGTTTGGGAAGATATTAATGTAATTTATTTTTAATAATGATTTATAAAAGTTAATCAAATTGTATCCAAATGGTTAGTTGGTTCTTCAAATAGCCAACAAAAATTGGGAATTTTTCGGTAGACTCAAAAAAGGGGTGCCTTACTTTTAATAAATCAAAACTATGCATTCAAAAAATCATTTAGATTACAAAATTACACAGATAACTGACAAAATTACTACATCGATTAGAAGTTCTATTAAGCATAAAATACAATCAGCATAAATAACAAGGAGATTTAGTACCATGTTGTCAAAGCTAGTTACTAGTCTTCTCTGCGTAGCAGTTTTCATTCTCATCGTTGACTTTAATGTAAAAAGAGTTCTGAGAACTGCTAAGTATTACTAAGTACTAAAAGAATCGAATTTTCACAGGATGCAGTCGTCTTTAAGTTACGAATTTCGCAATCAATCGTGGTTTGTGTTCCATTATTGTCGCCTGAATGCGATCAGTCGTGAGAAGGTCATACTCAACCTAAATGGAACTGTTCTACATCCGGCCAATAACATAAAAGTTCATGTCAAGCTGCTTAAGAAGGCCAACGGATTTAAGCCTTGGTTACTTGCATCCTTTTGTTCGATATCTTCAAGGATTTATCCAACCTAAACCACACATTATCATTCCTCGTAAGTACTTAGGCGCTTTTAAATTGGATAAATTTAACTATAAATTGTATAACCTATATGACCTATTAACTTTAATGTGGATGTTCGACAAAAAAATCCAGTTCGATACCAATGTTACTTTTGTTTATGCAGAGGATCTCATTAACTCATAATCAGCTTCTCGACTAACTGGTACCCATTATTCAGCTGGTGGGATTACATTTTTGAATTCCAGAATTTTTTTAACTCTGCTGTTAATTTCAAATACAAAAATCAAAATCAACAACAGCACAATTTTCTTCACTGCATAGCTACTACCAATGAACTGCGGGCAGTAAACCAAGTGTTACACTCCATGGACGTTCAAATGAGCCAAACTTTCCCAAAGAAGCATTTTACAATTCGCAATTAAATTTAATATTTTTAACGATCGAAAAGCAAATGCATACAGCAGACAGGAATTTCTATATAAATTAACTTAAGATTTTTGCTATTTACATTTAGTTTGGAGTGTAGCTCTGAGTTCGATTTAGTGGTAACAGTGCCAGGCGGCCACCCGCTGGCCTGGCGGGGATTCCCGGATGAGACGCATCTGCTCGGAGCCCGTATCTCCCGGCTGTCCACCACCGACTATGACGGTGCCGAGTACCAGCTTCTTGCCCATCTTCTTGGTGGCCAATGTGATGCGCAGCACGATGTTCTCCAACTGATCGAGTCTCTGGAGCGGAATGTCTATCGTTCCCTCGCCGAAGCCATCGTCCCATTTAGTGGAGAGTGAGGGAAAGAAGATGGGGGACTTCCAGGCATCTATGTAGATGCCGTGCTCGAAGGCCGTGGTCTTCACATAAACACCGGAGCTCGCCGTCACCTCCAGCTCGTCCTTCACCTTGTTGGAGCAGCGCATCCGTGTGGTGGTCACCCGGAGCAGGTATCTGCCGGAGTCGCTGTTGCCGGCATTGCTGATGCCCATCTTTCGCTTCACTTCTGCCGTCATCCGTTGCCAATTGTTGGCCGCATGGATGGCAGGTGGCGTGGGCGTAGTGGGCGTGTTTGAGGGCGTGGCAGGGGGCAGTGAAGTATCCACAGGTGATTCCAGGCATTCCAGAAGATCTCGCACCTCGAGGGCCAGCTCGACCACACCCTTGGTGGAGTTCACCAACTGAAAAATAATAATACTAATGTACTGGAAAATATCTTAGAAATTAATTCCCATAAACCGCACCATTCATTTAACTCAGAATATATGCATTTATGACTAGATATTTAATCAGAAATGGGATTTCGTAAACAAAATGCTGACGATATGCTACCCACTCGGGCTTTCAAAGCTCTGGATTTATAAGGTTTGTCAACAAATTGAAATCGCATTGCTTTTATCTTATCATTAAAAGCCAAATTGACCCACACTGAAAATTGGTTCAAACACATAGGTGATTCAGATATCGCCACATTAGGTGAGGGAAAAAACGCGAAGGGTTGGCTTTTAATTCATTTTTTCCGGCATAATATTGACTCAGCTTACACATTAATGTTTAATTTTTTGTTGGTTGCAATTAAAAAAAGTTGCTTTCATTTAAATTTTATAGTGGCGGTGTTGTTGTAGTTTTCCCGACCAAACGGGAAGCTTTCACTTTGCACAATTAAGGGGCACACATCTCCATTACATTTGAAAACACTCGGAGCCCCATGTCGCATTTTGTTTTGTAACACCAATTTCGGGTGAACTTGTTTAGCAATGCTCTGGGTCAGGTACCTACACATGTTTTCCTACTCACATTGTTGTTGCTGGGTGACGACTTGGCCACCGTGGTGGTGATATCTTTTATGGGCAGCCACAACTCTTCCGTGGAATAGCAGCCCGTGCGGCTGTTGCGCTGGAAGAGCTTCGATTCCAGGTAACAGGTGACGGAACCTGGGGCGGAGAAGACACAAAACTATAGATATACGTATGATAAAGATATTGATATATGACAAAGAGATTTAACAAAAAATTATAGATATCTGACAAAAAGATATAACACAATGTGCCAATGGAGGGTTTCAAAACAAATCAAACAGTGTATTTTGCTGACTTGGAATTTAAACAAGTCGCATCTTTTATGGTATGCTATAGTTAAAGTAATCTGATCATTACTGATCATTAATGAATATATACCCCTTACTATCGCAAATTCTAGGCCAATAACATTATTGAGAAATTTGAAATTTGTCCAAAAGTATGCTGTAAAATGGTGTTTAGCTTGCACAGCTTAGCAGTTGCTTTTAGCCAACATGGATACATTACCTATATTCCTGCGCGACTCACTGATGGTCAGCGGGGGCATCGCATCCCGAGCGGAGCTCTCAGACATCTTCTTTCCCTTTCCCTCGTCACCTGGTCCTCCGCCAGCTTCAGTCCTTGGTTCACTTGGAGCACCCGCAGTGGGATCCATGAAACGCTGCACGAAGCTGGTGCTTCTGTCTTTTAGCGAGCGGTATGTCTTGTTAAAGCGATTGAAGTTCTGGTAGGAAGGGAATTTAATCCACGTTAGTGAGCTAGTTATGGCCAACTTACTGTGGCCGGTAGGACCAGCAGGGCGTAGACCGTAAACACCACAAATTGGCCGGAGAAGAGTTGATCTGGCTCCTGATCCGCGCTGTTTGCCTGTCCATTTGCGGGTCGGCGGGCCACATGCTTCATGGAGGATCTATCCAATTAGTATTTTGAATGATAATATTGCTAATTCCTTTCATATCACACATACTTGATATCTGGCACCAGGGGAAACTTGAAATTCTCATTGAACTTTGGCCATGTATTCGTCTGAATGCTGCTGTCCAAGCGTTTCGATCCGGGGAATAGCTTTACCTATGGATCGGGAAGGTGAGAAATTTAAAATATTTTGATATACAAATAAATAAATTATGGAATGAGCTGAGGGTCTTTGAAGTGAGATAGGAAAATAACTCAAAAGTATTCGACTTAATTCATTTGATCTCAATTGATTGTTTATTTGGCAACATATCTAAAAAATCGTATGTTTTCTAAACAATAAAATATAACAAAACTTATTTGTTCAAGTGCTGGCCACAAAAAGTTCACGTTTATCATAATCATTTTTAAATTTTATTATTATTATGAAAATACTATTAGATGATAAGAATATTTTTAGGATGACAGTCATCCGTTGTCAGAAAGATCTACTCATCTTTGGAATATAAAAAGTTATTATTCCTCTCCTGGCCAAGCAAAAGCTTTTATCTCAAAGTTTATATATTGCTAACAAAGTTGATAAATTTTGTTTGGTAGAAAAGAGTTTATTTGATTGATTTTCTCATGGTAATACTGTTAGGATTCTGTTAGACCATAGGATACTACGGTCTGCGCTGTGAAAAACTGTTTGAGAATCAAAGCAATTTCCTATCTGCCAAATTGAGTGCCTTTATCTCAGGCTATTTCCGTGGCATGTCTCATATCGTGACTAATTAGCACTAATTTACCTTTATTTGATACCCCTGGACGATCTTGAAGCCGAAGAGGGAGGGCAGATGTCGCGCGGCGATGAGGTGGACGTTGAGTTCGGGCACCGCCGTGGAGCCCTTACTTTGATCACTGCTTTTCGGATTGTCGATTGTGATCTGGAATCCGATCTCCGGCTCCAGAGTTACGGAGTGCCGGTTTGCGCCATTGGAGCCGGAGTGCTGACCGGGCAGCAGGGCCCGTAGTTTGTTCATGACGTCCGTGTGCTCCGGTTTCTACTTGAACCGGGAATGGAATGCCAACCGCTTTTCCATTCGATTGCGCAAAGGCGAAGAAGCGATAAATTGTGTAAGTGACTTAACACCCGCCGCCGACTTTTCCTTATCGCTATGAATCGTACTTCAAACTGATAAAACCTGCCCCACTCTCTCTCTCTCTCTCTCTCTCTGTATATTTATCTCTCTCCCTCAGCAAAGTGCAGTGCTCTCAGCTTGGAGATGGGAAAATAAACACCAAAGCTCCCCAAACAGCTGATGACTGGAAACTTTTGCACCGCAAAGCTCACTCCCCACCACTCCCAATCTCAATCCTAATCCCAATAGGTAATCGTGACCGTTGGAATGAGATACGCGAGCGGTTCTATCTTATGGATGTGTGCAAAAGTATCTTGGAGAGGTTACAGCCAAGAGATGCACTTCACGAATCCATCTCCCAGAAGAAGCGGTCATAAAATCCGAACTAGATCACAGAAACCAACGGATTGCGCGGAATTGCCCAACTCGCGATGTTGAGATGTCAACAAGTGTTTGGGGTCAGCACACTAAGCAGAGCACTTGGCGCGACAATTAGCAACTTAAGTGAGAATGAGAACGAGAACGAGAATATGAACCTGAATCTGAATGATTCTGAAACGAATTCGGATGGCGATCCGATCTGGACGCTCGCGTTCTTCAGCTGTTCCAGCGCTCAACTGAAAAGTTAACTTGGAAATTACTTCGTATGCGGCCACAATAATAAGCGTACAATCATAATGCCGACACACATTCGCGCGCTCCACGTACAGCAGCGGGTAAAAATATAGCATCTTTCACAGATGTCACTAAAGGAAACGGAAGTTACTGTCATTCGGAGTTAAGGTTCGGTACATAGAAGTATTTGCCCTTCATAGAAACTAGATGTGTACCTATGTTTCAAGAAGGTAATTCGTTATTTAACTGGTAACTAAGTATAAATGGTATTTCTTTGACCCCACTTGTGAGCACGAGTGTCGACACAAACAAACGCTCACACCTAAAGCCAAAGAACTTTTGTTCTCTTATTGTGCTTGTAGAATGCACTCAGATTCTCTCAACGCCATTTGTGTCATAGTTACCGCTAAAGAAAAGAACAGCAGCCACAGACAACCTATTACAAACCTCTTGAGAAAACGAAGATCGGCGGAACGACTTTTTTCCTTCGCTCATCTCACCGCACAATTTACCACTTAGCAACTCCGCTGTAGATTTAATTTTCACGTTACCATTCTGCCATTCTTACAGTTTGCACAGTAAATACGTTCATGAACTGTAAGTGAGTAACAATAATAATAGATCATCTTTCATTCTTACTCCTCAATAAATCGTCCATTAGCATAAATGTGTTCCATTACGGTTACCAGATACCTTAGCCAATACTCCAACCAATGCCCCAACAAATATTTCACATAGTACGCTTAGGTACACACAACCTAATACCAAACCCAAACCGATACCCATTATTTTTGTT